GGCCACAGAGCCTGAGCCACGGGCTGTCTTCCAACCTTCTGGAATGAAGTCCTGGGATCTCTTCTCCACATCTACCCCCCTAGATCAGCCTTGTAGATGTAGGCTGAACTTTCTTGTCTGACATTTGAGTCACAAAATTATAAACTGGGACCATTCTTCAAATATAAAATCCTATTACTGGATATGCTTTTCCAAGTGATATGCAAGCCCCGGGAATGCCCATTGTTTTTCCCCAGTAGAAATATTGCTTCTCTGGGCCAGTACAGGCTCCCAGGAGGAACAGAGCCTCATGCCAGCTCAGGATGCTAACACACTGTTGGCATCTGCATTCATCCTCACAATCACAACTTTCTCCAACACTGGTGCTGAGGATAAAGGATGCCTTCAGAATGAAACATTGACTGACCTCCACCAGGTGTCCCTTGGAATCCTCAAAGCAGTCACCTCAAAAGGTGATGTCATCGCACTCAGTAGAGACAAGGGCTGGGGATGGGCTGCCATCTAGCTGAGTGCTGGGGCTGGGGGGTGAACCTGGCCGTGACTTGGTGTCTAAAGCTCTTTTTGTAGCAGTGGAAGGCAAGACCTTCAGTGTCCTCTGAGGCAAAGGGGAATGGTTTCCCCGGGGAACGATGCTCATCTGCTAAGGACAGAAATAATTCCCAAAGTGTAGCAACATACTGAGCAAGGACACCAGGCCCTGTGGGCGCCTAATCTAGAGAGTCTATAAGAATACTTTCCCAGGTAGGCAGGTCTTGGTCATACAGCAGAGGGTCAGATAGATACCTGGTGGCTCCGTGTTTCTAAGCTTGGCATGAGGGCAGGAAGAAACCTAGACCTTCCAATCACATACCACAAAGTAGATCCTCACAGCGGCTTCCCCCACTTAAGAAAAATACTGCAAACAAATAAGGCCACAGCAGCCCAGAGCCTTGGGAATAGAGGGTGAGCCAGGAGTCGGGCAGTGAATAATGCTTTCCTTCAGCCCCAGATGCCTGCACGGCAGGGGAAGGCTTTCCCTCACCTCCAGCCCACGGAGGAGGTGCTGGGGTTAAATATACAGGCTCCCTCTGAGGGACCAGGGATCCCCGGTTTGTGCTGGCAGCGGAGCCCTTCAGCCCTTGGGGCTCTAGAGAGAATACCCCCAGTCCATTTCGTTAGGCAATGTATTGGCTCCTTTTTCTAAGCAGATTTCTGGAGAGAGCCGTACCCTAGGAGTGTCTGCAACTCTGAATTCGTCTGATAACAGTGGGTGAGACTTACAGGCTGGAGTTTCCACCGTTAAGCGGGTGCTGACCGCGAGTGGTACCCCAGTACATCTAAGGAAGAAGCCTTCCTTTCAAGCTGGGAAACGAAACCCAGGAACGAGAAAGGGCCAGAAGCCTGGGTTTGCTCCACAGATGCCACACTGACACAGGCTGTCTCTGCTCGCGAGGCCGGAGTGAGCCTCCCGATCCAGAAAAGCGTTTGCCTGGGTAAACACTTCCTAGGAAAAGAATGCCGGGAAGAGCGGGCCGCAGCCAGCCGGGAGAAATGTTCTAAAAACCAGCCCAGGACTCAGAAGGCTTTTTGTCAAAGTCATAGCCTGGATGCCCACTTCTGCCGCGGAGGGGTACTCCACCTGGGCGGACTAGCCCACGGCATCCCCAGCATTTTCAACAGAGCCAGGGAGGTCGCAGCACCCGAGGCTTGGGCGCCCCGCCAGGCCCCTTACAAGCGGGTGGAAGAGCTCCGGGATGGAGCCCCGCATCCGCGAGCACAAAGGCTCCCGTGCGCACACCTACTATTCCCCAGACCCTGGAGTTGCTCCACAAGCCCTCAGACTCCATTGTGTGACAGATTTTTGGACTTTCCCACCGACCCTCCCCCCTTCCGGAGCCTCCTCCAGGAATCCACCACCTCCTTAGGACAGAAACCTTTTCCAGACAAACGTTCGCAGTTAGTGAGCGACAGCCGGCACGAGAAGGGAGTTATATAATTCGATGTCACCAAATTGCCAAGAAAAACAACATATTTTGGGGAAGGTTGTCATTTTTTTTTTCTCAGAGTTTCTCCGGTGGAAGACACATAGAGGTGTTCGCGATTTTGCGGAGGCCCTGTGTTTTCCCGATTTCTAAGCCAGTTTTCTATTCGAAAGAGGGCCGAGGTCGTGGGTTCTCCCTTGCCCTTCTTTGAAAGAGTTCCCGAAATGCACATAAAGCCAGGAAAAAAGGAGAGTTTTCAGGTTACAAACAAAAACGTTCCAGTTCCGCAGTCCGCAGGTCCCTTGCTCTGCCGGGCCTGCGGGTTGATTTTATCAATTGTCCTAAGTGTTCCCAATAACCAATTAATCGCCCCTGTGGTGCGTAAAACAACTTCACGCTTTTGGGTGCTTGCGATCGTTCTCAAACCGAAAGGAAGAAGACGCATAAAAAGACCAGCAACCTCTTTATAAGGTTCTGCTCAGCCGGGTGAGGGATGCCTTTTATAAAAGTTGCGTGTGTGTGTGTGTGTGTGTGTGTGTGTGTGTGTGTGTGTGTGTGTGTAAATTTCCCAGTGCTGGGGAGGCACACACTCAAAATCAAGACAGCACGTCTCCGCACCCATTTGCCTTAATTCTAGCCTGAAAGGCATTTGTGCACACATGAAATAAATATGTATGTGGATTTTCAAAGAAAAAAATCATGAATAAAAATATATTTTTTATTGTGTAAAAAGAACATTGTTTCCGTGTGAGCTTTCAGGGAGCCTGCCTGATCTTTTGCTCCCTGCAAAATGCTGCCAGGAGGCCCAGGGGATTTGTCCCCAAGATTGTGTTGATAACCACTACCCCGCCCAAGCACAGCAGGAGGCTGGCCTATATAGCAGATACTTAATTGTCATTATTGTTAGAAAGGAGGAATGATGGAGGAGAGGAGAAGACCGACTCTCCTTTCCCAAGGCTTCCTCCGGGGATGCACACTTCAAACTCAGGGATCCGAGTCCTGGGGACCAAATTCCTTCCCAGCACTGGGGTTTGCACCTAGGTAGAAGCCGGTTCTTTGGTGGTGTTTTTCTTTTCTTTCAAAAACAAATCTCACTGGGACAAAGAAGCTGCAAATGTTTAATTGTTTTGTAAAGTGGGGAGGTTGGTCACTCATCTCTCCAGGACAAAATGCAGCTTCTGTTGTTATTTTGTAGCTGAGCCAGAAGGACCTGGGAGGTGTCCCTGACCTCTTTTAGGAGAAGCTCCATAATGATCCCAGGGGCAACTATGTGCAAAAGGTTTTTCCAGTGTTGAAATTTTAAAAAAGTACAACCACCCCAAAGTTTCAGAGGCCCATTTCTACTTTCCCAGGCCTCTTAGAAAACCCACACGTGGGGACTGCTGAGGTCAGTGGCTTAGCAGGATGTAAGTGGTACTCCCAGAGCCCAGCCAGGAGTATATCCCATAGAGGGGCTGCCCGAGTCACCCCACGTCCCCAACCATTGCTACCCCATGTTATATGCACACCTGTGGGTGAACTGACTGGTGTGGCCTTCTCTCCAGGATCTAGAGTTCCAGGGCACAGACACCGCGCGACATCAACAATGTGCCTCAACCTGGGGAACGCAGCACAGAGGGCCAGCCCCACACCACGTTATAGGACCAAGCAAAGGACAGATCTTCAAAACCCACCCCAGTTCTTGCCCATAGAAAGCATCACTCTACGCAGCCACCAAAAAGAGCAAGGCGCAAGAGCAGTTTCTGCCGGTTCCTGGGGACACGATCAAGATCTGCTACCAGAGCCCTGTGCTGGGCTCTGGCCTGAGGTCTTAGTATTCCCAGGCCCCAAAGAGTCCAGCTGACCCTCTTCACACTAGACCTTGGATTAGGTGACGATACTTTGACTGCACTCACAGCTCGCACTCACAGCCCTGCCTTTTTCTCCAAAGGCTTCCGGCACTCGGACACCAGGAGCCCAAAGCACCTGGGCAGTCCGCCCTGCAGCCGCATCCAAGACACTTTTCTGAGCACCACTTAGAAGTTCTCACAGGCACACACACACTTGTCCCTGGACTCACTCCCAGGATCCCCACACCTTTCTCCCCACCGAGGCTCCCCACTGCCCCGCCCATTGCACTTCCAGGTACATGGGCCCAGGCAGGTCATAAGAAAAAGCCTGCGTCTGCTGTGGTATGGCCCCAGCCTCCAGCCATACAATCCACAGCGCCAGCTTAGCATAGAAGCCGGCAGGTAGGGCTCAACACACTTCTCTAGTGTCAACCACTCTTTTCCAGCACACTGCGAGAAAGGAGGCTGTCTGGGAGGCCTGACTCCTTCAGCCAGCCACCCCAACTAGGATCCCTAGGTGGCAGCTTCCT